TGCACTGACACGTGCGGTTCGGGCTCCCTCTCCCAGCGCAGTGGCCGCTCCATGCAATTATTGTCATTGCCGGTGGGGGTGGCGTGCTCGGGGAGGAGGCGGAGCAGAGGTGAGCTGGGGTGGGGAGCTGCCATATGGTTCCCCGGGGGGGGAGCTGCCGCAGGGGGGGCTCAGGGTGCGGGGGACCTGCCGCGGGGTGGGGTGCCTCAGGGCGGGGAACTGCCGCAGGGCGTTGGGGGGGGGGGGGGAGGCGCAAGGTCGAAGTTTCGCCTAGGGCACAAAACTTCTTTGCACCGGCCCTGATGGGCAAGATGTGGCACAAGCAGGAGTAGCTAGTGCTGTCAAATTTATTTTTAAAAGGTGAGAACTTAGCAGACACATACATCATGGGGAAACAAATTGCTAACTCCACTTGAGGGACATACCTAGATGAGTTCTGACCAACATTTAGTATCTCTGTTCATAGCTACCCAGATAGTAGTAGAGGGCAGATGGGAACACGTTTACATATGGCTCTATCTGCCTATAGTCAATCAATGGGCATCAGGTTTCAGCTCTCCCCCGTCCACTTCTCTTGTTAAGGAGTATGTGCGTGAGCTGGTGGCTAGATCACTCTTCCCTCTTTCTTTGGCTTGTAGGCCCTTGAAGCTGTCAACACTCAGTTGCGAGAGCTCTACCCCGACAGCGAAGAACTTTTTGATATTGTCCTCATGACCAATAACCACGCCCAGGTCGGAGTCCGCCTGATCAACAGCATCAATCATCACAGTAAGCACGGAACGACCCTGAGCCAGAACCATTGAAATGACTTGGGAGCTGGTGGCCACTGGGTCTTTGGTTAGTGGCTGGGATGGTGGAGAAACTGGAGGGCAAAGCTTTCTCTTCTGTTCCCCCTGCTGTTCTGTTAAACCATCCAGCAAGCCCCAGTCTCCTGTGGCTTAGACTAAAGATGGTTGTAAACTAACCCTCTCCAATCTTCGAGGGTACCAATAAAATGTGATCCAGGTCTGAATCAACCTGGGTTCTGCTTTGGCAACATCAGCCCCGTTTTGGGCCATCTCTTCTTGGGAGGATGAAGCCAAAATCAGACCAGCTTATGCAGTTCCTGGGCACTTGGATGGAACGAGACCTGGATCAAACCACACTTGGGTACTTTCCAGGATCAAAAGCCATCTGATGAGGTTCTGCCAAACTCAAACCAACCTTGATTTTGCCATATCCCTAGTTTAGATCTGAGTTCTTGGAGTGAATAACCCCGGGAATGGAAGGAATGATGGGTGGGTATAGAAGCAGTATAATAATAATTAGCTCTTGTCTAGCACTTTGCCTCAGTAGATCTCAAAGTGCTTTACAAGCAGGTCAGTGACATTATCCCCATTTTACAGGTGGAGAAACTGAGGCAAAGGGCGGTGAAGTGATTTGCCCAAAGTCACTCCGCAGGCTAGCGGCAGAGCTGGGATTAGAGCCCAGGCCTCCCGAGTCACAGCCTAGTGTCCTAGCCACTAGGATGCCCTGTCTCTCTGTATGTCAATATTGACTCAATACCACGTGCCCCTTTGGGGCTTTCCTGTGTCTGGGAGGAGGATGGCTCACAGGAGGACACTGCTAAGTGTAGTGTGGTGCAGGGGCTCGGTGAAGGGGTTACTGACAGGTGTTGGGAAACAAGTGGCAACAGCTACTAGGTCAAAGGCGTTGTGTCCAAGCAGTGGTGCTACTGTGTCAGCATCTGTGACAGGGCTGGCCTGAGCCTCACCGTTGCCAGCAGCCATGGGGCCCCCACCTTCTGGTGGCCAGGCTGCCCTGTGCTCATTTGCCATCTCTTTTCTCTGGCCTGGTGTCAGAGGGGGAGAAAATCCCCCATCTAGTTCACTCCCCCACTAGTGGCAGCTCCTGGGCCCCCTGCACACCATAGCGCTGGATAACAGCCTGGGCCCTTGCTGGCCCATCCCAGCTAATTCGGTGCGTCCGTCCGTCCTCAGATCTGTTCATCGAGAGGTTCTGCATGACGGGAGGGAACAGCCCCACTTGCTACCTGAAGGCCTATCACACCAACCTGTACCTCTCCTCTGACGCCGAGAAAGTGAGTGAGGCCATTGAAGAGGGTGAGTCTGACGGTCAAACCCTGGGTGGTAGTGGGTGGCGGGCACAGCCCACACCACGTCGCTCTAGGAGTGCGGTGTAAGGATCTCCATCCTCTGGGTCTGTGCAGCAGCTGGGTAGCGGAGGCGTCCCACACCCTGTCTCCATCACGCCCCTGCCCTTGCTGAGGCCACGTGGGACCTCTCGTTCCCCTGGAGACAACAGCATCTGCTGATCTCTATAGCTTCTCAAAGTGCAGGTGGGCTGCTCTCCTCGGCTGGCTGCTGGATGGATCCTGACTCCTTCCATGCTGGTGGGAACGGCGGAGGTGCTGAAAGCACCTGTAAGATATGCAGCAACAAATGATAGAAACCTATGTAAATTCTGCAATCTTCGCGCCCCCCCCCCATCCCCACTAAATATTAGATCATACCCAGGGCTGTGAAGCAATAGGGCATGGAGGGAGGCTACCACCTAAACAGAACACTAGATCCTTCATCCAGGGGCTCATGTCTTCACCTAGGTATTGACGTGCCTCTGGCTTTCCTAAATGCTGAGGTGAGGGTCCAGACGCAAGTGTCCAATGTAAGGACCAGTGTTGGCCTGTCTCTGCTCTGTGTGTGTCCAGTTCTGTTGCTCGGGTCTGCAGGAGGAGGACCCAGGAAGCACGGTGGGAGGAGACGTGCCGCCTGTCACATTTCTTTCTCGTTCCCCCACAAGGAATCGCCGCGGCCACCGTGTTCAGCCCCAGCAAAGACGTGAAAGTGTCGGAGAACCAGCTGCGGGTGGCGTTTGACGGGGACGCTGTCCTCTTCTCGGATGAGTCGGAGCAGATCGTGAAGGCGCACGGCCTCGACATGTTCTTTGAACACGAAAAGGCTTATGAGAACAAGCCGCTGGCCCAGGTACGGCCGATCGCCCCCCTGACCCGCTAGCCCCAGGAAACAGTTCTGGGGCAGGCAGCGCTGAGAACTGGCTGACTGCTCCAGCAATTCCCACTCCATTAGCCCTGAGCACAAGCCAAGGGGGGAGAGCGGGATGACGCTGATGCTGGGTTTCCAAGGAGATGGCTGTGAAAGACGGGGGAGTTCAATGGGAGTTAGGTGCCTAAAGACCTCTGAGGATCTGGGCCTTGGTTCCTATATACTTGGCTAGGGGATTCCCACAGCAGGGACAGGGCCTTTCCCAAAGCATGGAGATTGGGGGAGGGATGAAGGTAGCTGTGAATGACAGTGTCTCTTTGCTTGGGTAGGGGCCGCTGAAAGGCTTTCTGGAATCCCTGGGGAAGCTACAGAAGAAGTTCTACTCCAAGGGTCTGAGACTGGAGTGTCCGATTCGCACCTACCTGGTCACTGCCCGGAGCGCTGCCAGCTCTGGGGCTCGTGCCCTAAAGACTCTCCGCAGCTGGGGACTAGAAACCGACGAAGCCCTGTTCCTGGCTGGGGCCCCCAAGGGGCCGCTGCTGGAGAAGATCCGTCCGCACATCTTCTTCGACGACCAGATGTTCCACGTGGAGGGGGCGAAGGAGAGTGGCACCATCGCGGCCCACGTCCCGTACGGCGTAGCACAGAAGCAGAGGCGGATGGCGCAAGAGAAACAAACCAAGAACAGCAAGTAGCGTTGCTGGCGGTGACTGCAGGTGCTCGCTGGTTGGGTAGCTACCCAAACCATCCCTGACCAGGGCACCGTGCGTGGATTGATATCCGGGTCTGCAGGGGCTGAGCGTCTTTGTTGATTAGTATTGAAGTTGTAGGTGCCTTGTCCGGGTGGGTTGAAGGAAAGGTTTCCTTTTGCCTATGTGTGTTGCACTTTATTGACCGTCTCTGACCCTCCAGCCCCAAATCACCCCCCATGCCCCATGCATAAAGGTCAGAAGGGTCAACCAATGCCTAATCCCTCCTCTGCTACCTTTGCTCCTGCGTCTCAGCATCAGCCGTTGCTGACTTGTGCCACATTGGCTGTCACCTCATCTCCACACCTGCCTCAAAACCCTCATGCCTAAGCCCAGCACCAGCCATCCTGATCCTGCTATGCCTCCTCTGGGGTTCCGGGGCCCATAAAAACCCAGAGAGGAGCTCACGCTTAAGTTCTGCACCAGATGTTCTCCACAAAGCTTGGAGAACTTAAACCAAAACCCAGCCAGACTTGATAAGTCTACAGGAGGGGGGACCTTGCATTGGACAGGATCTGTGAGAACCGGGCTCCCCTTCTGTGGATCTTATATTCCAACCCAATTTAAACTTTTGGTGCTCATTTAAAAAAAAAACAGGGAAATTCCCAGTCCAAGAACTCTGATATATTTAAAAAAAAAAAAAAAGAAGTCAAGGCTGACAATGTGTTTCCGTGGAATCCAGCTTACACGCAGGAACAATGATCCGCTATTGTTACAAAACATTGACAGTTTTAAATTTTAAACGGACTGGAAATGAGGTTAAGGGATGCAGCCAATTTCCCACCACTGTTGCTGCCCCCACCCAACCTTCAGTTTATCTGCTCATGTTTGAGAAAACAGAAACTCTAGATAGGAAAATGTCAAGCCCTATTTCCTAGTCAGCGTTTTGGGCCAATATGTGATGGCCCAAATTTGGGTGCTACTATTGGATACCTAAATCCATAAGTGGCACCTGGAAAAAAAGCCTCTCAACCTGAGCATCTGAAAACTGAGCCACATAAAATCAGAAACCACTTTTCAAAATGTGGCTTCCTGGCCTCTGGACCCAGGCTGGGAATATGTGTAAGTTGAAAGACCGTCCCAACCTATGGTGGGTGAGGGGGGAGAGACAGATATTTTCTTGAAATCGACAATTACATCCGCTGAGAATTTGAGCCTGAGTCTTTCGTTAACCATAGCAAAATTCAAGTTTCATTCAAACCGAGGCCACTGTGCAATTGATCGTCCTTCTCCTGGTACTTTCCTAAAACCTGTGGTGTCTCCTGAAGTAGACAGATCCTGCTAACACAGTGGGAAAGAAGTAAATCCCCAATTCCGAGAGGTTTCAGAGGGGTAGCCGTGTTAGTCTGAGGTGGGTTCTAGCCCACAAAAGCTAATTCCCAAATAAATGTGTTAGTCTCCAAGATGCCACAAGACCTCCTCGTTGTTTTTGCCACTTCAGAAAGGAATCAGTCAGAGAACTGTTCTGAAAGCCGTGTATGGAATTCACTCCACATTTTTAGTGCAGATTGGAGGAACGATAGAAGGTTAAAGATCATTTTAATAATGACTCCTTCCCTGTGGTAGTGGTCTAGGTAGCACAAGTAGCAATGGTCATGGTTAGGATTGCCTGGCACTTACCATTATAAGACCATGTTTTCAATTGCTTAGAACTTTACCAAACTTAGACCATTTCATTGGGGCTGAAATTTTCCACATGAGGTGGCTGCCTCTGTCTGACTTTTTTGCACATTTTCAGTTAAAATGGTTCGGCCATTTCCAAGGATGAGATTAGGGCTAGGGTTATTATGTATCAGCTGAAATAATATTAACAATCAACCATACGCTTCACCACTTATCCTGTTGGTTTGTTCCTTGCACTAAATCCTGCTTGGACAATGAAAGCACTGGTAAGTTTTTTATCTTGTTTCTCTGCTCAGTTTCACGTTGAGATTCACTCTGCTGCCGTGTTGGGGTTGCAGACACCTCAGGGGAAGGTTTTAAATTCAAACCAAAAAACTTGAAAGAAACAAAATATCACAAAACCATTTCTATTAATATTCAGTTTTATGAAAAGTAGGAGGAGGTTCGGTTGGGGTCAAAACTGTCTGACAGGGATCCTTCCAACCAGCCTGTCGGGATACGTGCAGGGCTTCCTTATAAACATCCCCAAGGTGCTTCCTGTAGATTGGCATTGACTGACATCTTTGGAAGTTCTGCCACGTGCAAGCAGTCCAAGTCAGATCTTCCCCCAAGTCTAGAAGATGACATTGCAACAGGAAGTACTAGTTGTAATGAAGAGCAGAACGGTCTGCTAACATTTATGAAATTGTATCTGTCTGGGTCTGGGACTTGTTGAAATATTGGCGTGGGGGCAGGGGGAGTGTTGTGATTGAACATAGCCATCTGTGTAAGTGTGTATATGGGAGAGTGATTGTAACAGGTGGTCTTGTGTGTGTGTTTGAAAGAGATTGTACATGGATGCGTGTGAGTATGTGTGATATATCCTATATACGTGTGTGTGTGTGTGTGTGTGTGTCAGAGAAAGAGAGATTGTACATGGATGCATGTGAGTATCCGATTGTGTGTGTGTGTATGCACATGTGTGTACAATAGTGTTACTTGCGGGGGGTGAGTGAGCAAGAGAGAGTATTTAAAAACAGCACTCTGGGGTAGAGAGAGCTTGTCCCTCTCAAAAGAAACCCCAGTAACAGGGGTTTGACCTGCTGGCCAGCAGACCTCAGGTCTAAGCCGCCTCTAGCTCTGGGAAAGAGCTTGTGCCCAGTTCTGGAGGCGACAAGGGGAGGCACAGACTGTGCGATGCCAGCACCACGGCCACCAGAGGGCTGCGTGACTTGCACTTTAATTTTGTTTCCAACACTTAAGACAAAAAGAGAGAACTGCGGAGGGCCAGGAACCAGCGTATTGAGCAACTCCTGCTTTGCCTCTTCTCATTCACTGCCAGCACGAGGCAAGTACACCCAGAGCTCCCTTCCCTGCTTGTCCTGGGGGGAGGCCCCAGGAGATTGTCCCCAAAATACAGGACTCTGAGAAATGAGGACTGCCCACTGTAGTGCGTGAATCCTGCCTGTATTGAATGGGTTCGTTGCCCTACTCATGTTTGACCTTCACCGTACAGTTTTGTCCATATTGCTTCCTAGGGTGCCCCATCATTGGCTGACTTGGATTTCACTGCTTTTGTGGCTGGCTTGCTTGTGTCCGTCTGTCATCTCCTAGGTCGGGATGGATTTTCCATCCTGCCAGCAGCCCCCTTGAAATGATCACCAGGACCCTTAGTTCGTCACACCTTGGATGGCTTGGTGGCATTTCTTGCAGCGAACCAGCTGCTACTGGGCCCTCCTGGCTGTTGTGGTGTTGTGTGGGTTTCACTCCTGTGTCCTCTGATGGTTTTATCTGTGAATGAACTGGTGTAGCCATGGAAATTCCTATGCGTGTTTGTCTGTAATAAACTACAGCTGGTACTATTCGTTGTCCCCTGCTGGAATTCTTGGGGGAGTCAGGGGATGACAGGCCACAGATGTTCTATTTGGTTGCCGGCCAGGAAGGGGTTAACCCCCACTTAGCCCCTCCTAGGTGTTTTAGTAGAATAAGGAGGCCGGGCTGGGGATCCCAGGGCCAATCAGCCACCCAGAGGGGAGGCGGGAAATGGTTTAAAGCAGCATTCTGGGCGCTGGAGAAGCATTGGGAAGCGCTGGCTGGAGAAGTGGGGTGTAACCCAAGGTGGCTGTTTCTGTCTGAGCAGCCATCGCCCGTTGTAATTTGGACTCACGCCTCAAAGCCTGGATAAAAATATCACTTGGCAAAAGTCTTCTGTCGAGCAAACCCTCTACCAGTCATCAGAGGGGGAGGGGGAGAAAAGGCCTGTTGGGAGGAGATTCGTTTAGAAGCACCAGCTGTGTCTGAACAGCACCATTGTAGTGTTGTAGTTAATGTGAGCACCACCTACCACTTCCCCCTAAGTACAGAATCATCAGCATTGGGCAGCCTAAAGCAAATGGGAGATTAGTGGAAAGCATTCCTATGCGCGTTTGTTTTTAGTGTGATTCCTTTCAAGCATCCCTCCCCAGCGCTGCATATTCTCATACCAAGCGTCTGAAGCTAATTAAACTACCCAACTGGGAGTGCTCCGAGTGCACTAGCAAAGATACAGCCGACATCCCTGCCTGCGTGCAAGATCTTCCGGTCTAAACCTCCAGCCTTGGAAACTGCATTGTGCAGGTGGACACCGACACTCAGACAGAGCTCCAGTCATCTCAATGGTCCCTACCCACATGGCGCAGCATGCAGGAGCGGGGCCCCACTGGACAACAGACTGACGAAGGCTCGGGAGTGAATGGGATGCAACGGCAGGCATGTCACTGAGCAGAGACGGTAACTGCCACTAGACCCATGCAGAGGATTAATCGTTATTCCACTGCCTGTGTCTCACCTTTCTTTAGAGCATCAGAATTCACGGGGGTTTTGCAACAAACCTATTTTAAAAAGGGACTCTGCAGAAGACAAGATTGGGGGGGGGGAAACAGATTGAGGATTACGCTGTCAGTCACACGCTGTCAGAACAGATGTTAGCAAGGTAATCGGTTCTTAGCGTGTGAATAGGCTAAATGACAAGCCGCCGGTGGTGATGAGACTGGAATTGAAGGTGAAGGTTTTGGTGAGGCTCATCCCTGAGAGTGAAACACCACCGATGTCCAGCGGCCCACGAGGTAGTCGGAGTACCGGACCGGGCCTGGTCTCCTAGTTCTAGTCCTGGCTCTGCCATTGGCTTGTTTAACATACAGGCAAAGTGAGGGGAATATTTACCTACCCCCAGGTGGGCTGGGGGCATAGATGTGATGCTCGTAAAGCACTTTGAGATCCTCCTGTGAGAGGTGGTGCATAAAACCAAGGTAGAGTGACACGTAACCTGTTTTATTCTTTGTATCCTTGTAGCATCTCATGGCCCAGGACCCCCTTGCACTAGGTGCGGTGCAAACACTGAATGATAAGGTGGGCCCTGCCCCGCAGAGCTCACCAGGTACATAATGGAACTTCTGTCTTCACAAGCACCCAGTGACCTGTGGTTCTGTTCAACAGGTGCTTGCCGGTGTAACACTATGCGAGCTGTCAACTGTAGGACATCTGACCTAAAAGTGCAGCCCTCTACCGGCCTGAACGAACGGGCCCCCCTTTGTTCGCTCATTGCCAGTAGCAAAGCCCCAAACCTCTGTGTGGGGTACAGCCCCGGAGGGGGCAGAGAGCCACCGCGGGAGCGTGGGTTACACCAGGTGCGCTGTGCTATCACACGGCAGGGGCATGTCCTCAAACCCGCTTGACGTCCCTCTGGGCAGCCAATGCGGAGAGGGGAGTAGGTGCATTGCGGCAGTCTCTAATGCAACTGGCCGGAGTCGCGGGGAAAGGCCACCAGGCCGCGGGCACCAGCTTTCAGCACGAGCAGGGCTGCTGCCAGTATCCGGGCAGCCCGGCCATCTCGTTCCTTGGAGGCGGCTATTTATAGCCGTGCTTGTTGTCGGGGTGCCCTCAAATGGTTCCTCAGCCTGAACTGGCTGGGGTGGAGTGCGGGAGGGGGCCAGGTCCCGACAAAGCAGGTGCAGGATTGCTTGGTGCAGCTAACGCAGGAAACGAGTGTCTCCCGCTCTGTCAAGACTCAGCTCGGGGGTGAGTCCAGCTCCAAGGGAGGATTTACCACCATCCTCTAACCGGCTTCCTCGGTCGTGCCCTTGGGAGAGAGCCAGTGGGGTGGACAAACCTGGGACGCTTCTACCCCGCTCAGTCCCGTCCCGGGGGCGGGGTGATCGTGTGTGAACAGTCGGTTTAGATGGCATCAAGCTGACACGACTTAGCCGTGGGTGTAGATGGGTGCAGCCTGGCGTCCACACCGTTAGATAATAACCCTTTAGCGACAGGACTGAAATCAAACATGGGGTTTTTCTGTCCTCTCCCCTTTGCTTCAGGGCATTGCTTGGAAGCCGGGCGGACTGCCAGCGGGCTGGCTGAAGCTATGTCATGATCATGGCCCGGGCATGCTGCTCTTATATGGAGCTCAATGCAGCAGGGAATGTCCCTAAAGCTGTGCTGGATTAAGGCACTGTGGGGCCCCCAGGCATGGGTCTGTAATGCCTTAGCGTAGGTGAGCACTTTATACTAGGTGGGAGGGATAGCTCAGTGGTTTGAGCGTTGGTCTGCTAAATCCAGGGTTCTGAATTCAATCCTTGAGGGGGTCATTTAGGGAACTGGGATAATAATCCGTCTGGGGATTGGTCCTGCTTTGAGCAGGGGGTTGGACTAGATACCACCTGACGTCCCTTCCAGCCCTGATATTCTATGATAAACCAGCCCTACCCTAAAGTCAGACTGAGTGGTCTGCCTTTTCCAAGGCCGGCTGATGGTACATCCAACTGTCTGACATGAAGGGCAACACATGGGAAAAATCCTTTTAGGCAGGAGGCATGATCAGCATTCGCCTTTGGCCAGAAACCAGATTGATACTCGGGTCCCAAACTCGGCAGAGCTCAGATAATCTCTCCCAGAGCATACCCAACTGACCTCCTCCAGGCGACCAGGGATTTGCCTTTTTAGAAGTTTATTTGTTTAATTCAACTGCAACCCAGTGAGTGACCCAGTCGGAGATTTTTTTTTTTTGTTCCTGGGAGTTTTATTCATGACTCGAGTACAAGGTTTCTCACTTGGGGCCGGGCTTCGGTCTGGGATTGCAGCATTCTGTGTTGATTTTGGAAGTTGGGAAATTACAACAGTGGCCACCAGGGGGACCTAGTGAGTCTCCAGAATGCCAGAGAATGGCACAACTGTTTTCAGATTCCTGAATGAAGGACATCACTTGATGGGCGCAGTTTAAGTTCAAAAAGAAAATCAGTAAAGTGCTTGGAACAATCCTGCCCCACAATGGTGCTTTCCCTCCCTCAGCCCAGCGCATTCTTCTATTGATTTTTCTCTCTCTCCTGACAATCTCTCCTTGCTGATCCTTTTCTACAAAAACGTACCCATCATTCAGCCCCTGTGAGTTCCATTTTTACAGTTCTGGAACAGCTCTGGGAGCTGACCTGTGTGAGCTACAATTCTTTTTAAATCCAGTTGTTGGTAGCAGAGGGCCCTGGACCATTTTGGGTGTGTACTGTGAAAAGTCACACCAATAAATCTGGAATTTGTCTCAGCTCTGTTTGTTCCCCTTTTGCGGTCACTTTCCATAAATATTCTACTCAACAAATGTACTGGCAGGAATGTTCATGGAAACAGCAAATACTAAGTGATGGTTACTGAATGTTCGGGGAAATGAATTCTGACCTTATAAGTGCACGTATCAGCCTCAAAAATCTACTTATCCAATCAGGGGTTGGAAACAGACCATGTGACTTGTTCCCAATCAAAGTCCATTTTAAAACACTGCTCACAAGCAGTTTGTGGAGCAGGCTCATTCTGTAGACCCAGAAACAGCCCGAGAAATTATCTGGCGAATAATTTTGAACAAAGTCTAAACAAGGGGAAATTAAACCGAAGTGTTTCACAAGGATAATGTGGTTTCATTTATTAAATGAGTGTGTGTGTGTGTGTCAGTTAGGCATCTATGGCATATATGATACATACACATACACAAATACAGTGAAAGCCGTTTATAGTGATGGGCACTTGAAAATTAAAATAGAGGAGCTAGGTATTATTATTGTTACTGCGAAGTTTTGTTCCATGACAGGAGGTCACTCTCAGCAGAGGTTCATTATACTCAGAATTACTATTTGCAGACTGCGATGAGTGAAATTCACACGGGACTTTCACTTTACTTCACGCTAAAGAGAGTTTCCCTCCCTCTGAGCTCTATACACCAAACTGACCTCTGCTGTTGTGGCCACCGGGATATTTGTGTGCCCTCGGCATGTGGCTGGGGAGAGTTGTGCCATTAGACATGTGCGGGGGGCATGAATCACTGCAGAGCTCTGAGCTTTCTGCTGTCACTCAGTGGGCGAGCCGGGAGAGGAAAATGGGAGAACAGCGGGAAAAGGCCTCTACTCGTTTCTTTCATTCACGCAGGGGGTTTCTTCTCCCCTGCCAGTGAGAAGGGCAGTGCCCAGGACAGAGCTCTAAAGCTGCTGCTCTGAGTGGGGCGGAAGGTTCGTGTGTCCACTGCTCCCAGTGGAAAATTCCTCCCTTCCCGTGATCAGCCCCAGTGCGGGGCACAATCGGGGATGAGGCAGGCGTCTTGGCGTGGCGCATAGGGCACGGGGCTCCGTCTCCCCGCTGGGCTCTGTGGCATGGTGCATTCGGGTTGGCAAAGGGACGACCTCAGCGGGTGCGCCCGGGCGGCCGTCCGGAGAGTGGTGCCGATGGGCTGGGGGGTTGTGGCGTGAGGCGGCTGTCCTGGCCATGGTGCTGGGGGCCGCGGACGGGAGGCGGTCGCTGGCACGGCGACAGGGCCTGTTGTAATGGGGACAGGGCGGCTGTCCCACCAACTGG